TTTTAAACCCAACCCCCCCCCCCCCCCCCCCCCGAACTTGACCACACATCCCCCCTGAATTTTCATTTTTTTCAATTCGACCACAGCTTGTTTCCATTAACAGAGAGAGGTGAGGCATGTCTTGTCATGTGTCACAACTCTGCTATACCCAAGTTTGAATTTCATTAATTCTCACTCCATCTCCATTTCTTTTGTCTCCTAAAACACCCATCTTCCACCGGCGTTCCCGTTCTTTGGCCTTGTTTGATTAAAAGCTGGTAATTACATTGTTCCTGTTTCTGCATGGTTTCCCCGCTGATTCTGCAGGGACGTCGTCTTCTCCCGCTGGCGCCTGATTGAACTCTTTTAGGGCTTTGAGGAAACAATCAAAGCCATCCGAGAGTAAAACAAGACGGAAAAGATGAGTGAAGAATGGGATACACTCGTTGTATACTTTGGGCTTTAGGGTATGGTTACACTAAGGCTGGGTAAAAAAAATAGATTTCTCAATTTTAATCGATTCTCATTTTTACGAAATTTATATTGATTCTTAAATCCAAAGAATTTATTAATCTAGATTAACCTGTTTTCAGGTAACAAACGGAACATTGTAACGCACCTCCTATACAATAAATCGCAAAAAACGTTGTGCTTTGTTACTTTTGATATTAAACAAGGTCTCATATTTCAAATTCTGTCCAAATTTATTACAGTATTCAAACAATAAATCCTATTTTGGTGCTGTTTAATGTGGAGTGACAGATTGCTGTAGCATCTCAGTTCAAGAGAAGCGCCAGCGCAAAGCACACATGAACTGATCATCGCGTCCGCTTTAATAACCAATTTAGCATGAAATAAACATGAATGAACGTCCGAAGGTACTGTATGTTAAAAGAAACAGAACACTTACCGAGATCTGCATCCTGTCTCGTGTAATTGCTCAATCAGTGTTTCAACCGCACAAAGATGTCAATATAAAATCTTGTAAACAATATCATGTAATGTCAGATTTACCCCAGAAAAAATATATAAAACTAATTTGGTGACTAAAAACCCATTATTCAGCAAGAAAAAAAAAAAACACTACGGAAGAGCATTTTTCAAAAAATATGAACCGTATGACATATTCATTATAATTTGTACTGTTCTTCAATATTTAATTTGTTTGAATAAATCCATCAAGTTTTTATGACAGCCACCATTCAAATATTTAGATATCAAAAAACGATTTGGAGTAGAAACACAATGATGTAATTCTAAATGTATTATTGTAACTTCATTATTATAAAAACTTAATTAAATGTAATTTAAATCTTTGTGTACAAATCAGTTAATTTTAACCTTCAATATTACAGTAATGTAGTACCAACTGACTCTCATGTATATTTTACAGCATTAGTTGATAGATTTTTTTTTTCCCTTGAGAAAATGTACCATATGCTGTACCTGATATATCGAAAATTGATATTGAATTGAAATTGCAATCAAATCACAAGCTTGCGAATCAAAATTGATTCGAATTGTGAAATTGGTGTCGAAACCCAGCCCTAGTTTACACGACAGTGATGTACTAAAAACGGAAGAGCTTTTCCTTTGTGTTTTTGAAAAGTTTTGTGTAGAGACTAACGTAGTCACAACAATCCCCATTCACACGGATCTGCAAAAACAGCTAAAAATGCCATTATTCATGCCAGGCCAGTAGATGGCAATGTTACTAGGTAAAGAAACATTATGTCCCTAGGCGCAGACCTACATAATACACATGCTCATGACGTCACTGTTTTCACAAATTTGCGATTGTGTAATTTACACAGAGACGATAACGGTATCGTTTTCAAATACTTGCACTTTGAAACATGATTTCAAAAGTTTGTGTTTTTAGGCCCCCCAAAATGCAAAATGAATGGCCAAAATGCATAAAACATTTACCGGTTTTAGTTGAAATGGTGTCGTGTAAAACACTGAAAGAAGTACCTGAGCCGTATCTAGAATCCAGACTATTATAGTCACGTGTAAGTGGACCAAAAGTAGCAACAACCCAGAACACCTTTACTTTTACCATCGACATTTACTTTCGTCAATATCACCATCTCTTGTCTGTTTAATGGTTGCGCTTATTTATTGCGTAGTATTGATTTAGGTCAAGTTTAAAAGTAATTTCTGTCAGCTTTAAAATGATGATCATAATAATAGTAAAAAATCCCATTGGCCAATTTGACATTTCTCCAGTAGATTTTTATTGAACTACAATAAAGCTCTTTCAACTTTTAACCCCAGCCTTCACAAACCAGCATCAATTTGAGGCAAAACGGTGGTGCTCTTTCTCTGAACTTTTCTCCATAATGACTGCATCTAATGGCTTCATCAAGGTCATTACATGGCTAATCCTGTAGCTTTCAAGTGGCAGCTGTACTCGGACCAGAGCCAGTTTATTTCCCTCACCGGCTGATTTTGGCACACTTGCCAGGTTGCTTATGGAGAATCGTGACTAAGTGCTCAAGTGACTCTTATTAACGTCGTCTGTGACTGGCTGGTGTACTTTCTGTTCCCAGTTTTGGCGGTGCAATATCTGTCAGATTTATAGACGTGACACTTTTGATGTTTACGGAGTCTGAGATGTATCAACGTCAATTGACAGACGGCCAGAGGTCATTCCCACAGGTGTAATGAAGACGCTAAATCAGTCTGACACCAAATTAATGAAACCATATCTCTCAGGTCATCCACTCTGTCAGACTTCATCATCTACTTGGTCTTAAATTATGATTTCGTTTGAGATGTCATACAATAAATGATTAGATTGATTGTTTAGTGATCTCGATAATTGTATAATCATGTTCGCCTTATTTGCTGTAGCTCAGTTAACCCTAGGGAAACAAAATATTATGTATAAAGATATAAAATTCAAGATTTGATTTCAAGATTTAAGATATTTGTTTGTCACATACAAGTTATATAAATATACAACAAGCAGTGAAACGTAGGTCTAGCATACTTAATAGACATTGCAATAAAAGAGATAATACAAAGAAATGAATAGAATTATCTTTTTAAAAGAAATTATGAATTATTATTTTAAATTGTAATTATTGTTTATATTACGTAACATTTACTAAAATAACATTATATAATGTACATATATTATATAAATAATTAAAATAAATGATATAAAATACAAAATGAATGTTATTTTTAAATGATGAAATACTATAAAATACATGTTACAATTACTTGAAATGCAATAATAATTTATATTAAAGTTAAATTCAATTTAGTTGATTCTATGTCATATAAAATAAAGAATTAATAAATTTTTTTAGTAAAATGTGCTCAAAGGGGTGAACATCCAATAAGTTAAAAAAATTGAAAAATAAATAATTTTAAAGTTAATTCTAATTATATTATATAATAAATCATTTTTATTCTAGACATTTAATAGATCATTATATATGTTTTATATATAATATAAAATAAATTAAAATATAAAATAATACATTTTTTTTATTTTGTAAAATCTGCTCAAAGTGGTGAACATTCAATAAATGATAAAATAGGATAGTGATAAAAATAGTGCCTATATTCACTCTTGGATACATTAGGTCAGTTAACAAGTGACTTCTTTTGGTGCAGTTTTGGGTTATTTTTTTCCCCTAAAATTGTGTTTAAAACTAGCCAAACACAGAGATCCTCTTTAGACTTACTATAAGCACACAGGGCAAAGGGTCACTTCAGCACTTAACTTTCACCTCACAATAACAATAGATCAATGTGCATATACTGTTCTAGACATTTAATAGATCATTATATATGTTTTATATATAATATAAAATAAATTAAAATATAAAATAATAAAAATTTTTTATTTTGTAAAATCTGCTCAAAGTGGTGAACATTCAATAAATGATAAAATAGGATAGTGATAAAAATAGTGCCTATATTCACTCTTGGATACATTAGGTCAGTTTAACAAGTGACTTCTTTTGGTGCAGTTTTGGGTTATTTTTTCCCCCTAAAATTGTGTTTAAAACTAGCCAAACACAGAGATCCTCTTTAGACTTACTATAAGCACACAGGGCAAAGGGTCACTTCAGCACTTAACTTTCACCTCACAATAACAATAGATCAATCTGCATATACTAATCGCTTCATAACGTTACGGTTGAACCACTGATGGCAGATGGACTATTCTAACGATGTCTATCATACTTTTCTGGACCTTGACAGTGTAATTTACTTAGCAGGCAATGTGACAGTCACAAGCCTCCCGGTTTTCATCCAAAATATCTTAAATTGTGTTCCGAAGACGAATGAAGCTTTTACGGGTTTGGAACGACTTGAGGGTAAGTGATTTAATGACAACATTTTCATTTTAGGGTGGAGTAACCCTTTAATGGTTTGTTATTTATTGATTGCTTATTTATTTATTTATTTAGCAGATTCCCAACACCTGAAAAATATTATTATTTTTTTTGTCTAGTCTCCCAGTGAAAATATGTAAATATCAATTTTCTCTGAAAACAAATTTTAATAATTAAGTATTTTTAATTTTTTTTGCTAAATATTGTTTTTTTTTAATGAAAACAAATTAATTAATTTACTTGAAGCAAAATTGAGTTCTTAAGACCATTTCAAGGTCTCAAGGTTTCAAAGTGTATTATTATTTATATGTTTACCTTTTACATTTACATTTAGTCATTTAGCAGACACTTTTATCCAAAGCGACAAAAGAGCAGTAATATGTAAGTGCTATGACAAGTATATATTAATTTTTTATTAAGTAATTTTGTTATTCTTAATATTTTTGCCCCCCGTTTGTTCCCAGTAAAATATCTAAATATACTGTACATATTATCTGAAAACAAACCTTAATAAATTATTTGGAAGCAAAACGTAGATATTGAGACTTTTCAGAGAGCCCGTAGTCGTCTTACCCATTTAGTAAATTTTATTTTAAGCATAAAATTAACAAAAAACATTTTTTCTTTTAAACAAGGGAGAAAATGCATATCATATGAAAGCAATATTATAGATATAAAATAACGTTTCGCTTCGCGGTTTATTAATTCTCAATTTATATGAAACTAAATTCAAGATATGGAGACTTTTAGAGAACGACTTCTTGAATCAAGTTTGTTTCTTATGCTATTGGCAAATCGTTTTTTTTTCCCTTGTTCAAAATTGACTGAATTTTTGTGCCATAAATGGTGTAAATAAACAACTTAAAGATATATTAAGTCTAAAGATATATTTCATGCAAACAATAGTTTTACTTATGTAAATTTAATACGATTTGTTTTCAAAGCAATGTATGCGATTTTATTTAATTCAAGATATATTCAGATAATATAAATAAATATCTCCAGTAATATATCTTAATATCTTAAGCAAATATATGTTGTTTTAAGGATGTTTTGATATTTTTTACAGGACAACATGACTTAAATACTGATTCAAAAAGCATGTTTGCAGTACATGTCAATCTCAATCCACAGCTTCACGGGAATTCACATGGAAACCAATTAGCTTAGAAATGAGCATCTCAAAAAAGAAACAACTGAACTCAAGGGGAATATGACGCAGTTTTAACCTCTTTTCTTTCTCCCCCTCTGCCGTCTCAAGTCGAGGGAAGCCATGGTAACGATGGGCTGTTGCTGGGGCGACCGTTTGAAGAGCCGGACCAGCCAATCACAGAGAAGTCGCTGCTGGAGATTCTGGACGGGGTTGTGATGATGTACAATCTGAGCGTTCATCAGCAGCTCGGCAAGGTACGGCTCTTGAGAGACCTGCGGGACACAGGCCTGGGGTCTGACCAATGCTCTGGCTTCATGACATTCGAAAGGGTTTGAGAGCATCACACATCAGTCGCGTCTGAAGGTGAAAACCTGTATTTGAGGTCTAGGGTTGAGAAATTGCTTCATTATATAGTGCACTTCTTAATGCAATACATATGTCCTAATTGGGCAAAACTCACTTGGGCAAAGGAAAAAAAAAATCTAAAAATGCTTAGGTTATGTTTCACCTCATAATAAAAAATTAAAAAAAGGTATTTATTAATGCAATATATAAGATTATTACATTATTTTAGAATTTTTTTTGATCTAACTCTGGCTTTTTTTTGATCTAACTCAATTAATTAATTGATTAATTTGTTAATTAATTTATATAATATATAGTACATTTTAATTGCTGTTGTTTATTAATATTGTGTCGTGAAGCAGATATAAAAGCAAAAATAATCAGTGTATAGTAGTTATCTGACAAATATTTTAAAATAACTTGTTGTTCAAAACAAAACCATTTTTGTCAAACAAATGTATTTTAATGTCATGAATATTACACCTATAAATCGTGTTTTGGCCAAAAAATAAATAAATAAATAAAATGAAAAAAATAATAATAATACGCAATAAAATAAATACTAATTTTTCATGATAACGTTTCCACTACTTTTGTACTTATATACATATATGTGTGCGTGTGTGTATTATATTTGTTAATGCAATATATAAGAATATAACATTTTCAAGCGTTTTGAAGTGTTATTTTCTGGCCAAAATTTCAGTAAAATGTACTTTTACAGTATTATCTTCATTTTATTTTAGTATACAATGTTATATTGTATTTTGTTAGCTGTACCCAATTTAATATGTAAATTAAATAATTGCAAATTTAAATAAACAATTTAATGTATATATTATAATAAAGTCAAGTATAAAATAATTATATATAAAAAAGTCCTCATTCTTCATTTTGCTCTTCAAGTTCACTTGCATGGATTTTGCTAAAAAAGCTCCTCTTTGATTTAGAGAGGGTCTCGTGTGCCAGCTCATCTCGACTGACCCACTCCACTGATAAACGCTGTTTGTCACCGTGTCGTTGCTTTCAACAGTGAGTCACTGCTGGGTAAAACACAGACTCTGTCCTGCCAGCAGACGTTTTAATGTTTCACTCTCTCAACAGCAAGGAGAAAGGAGTCAAACAGAAAAACTACGCCACACTCAATGGTCGTGAAGTCTATATAATTTATGCTCTTTGTAGAGTGCTTCGCTCGGCAGAGTTCTGCAGCACATCAACCTTTGTCTCCCCGTGTGTGTCCTTACGCTTGAAGAAAAGGGATTTCAATCACGGAGAGTGATTGCTCTCTGTAGTAAAGAGATTATTGCTTTTTCTCTGCCTCTCATTGATTCCTATGCATATCTAGTCTTTTTTTGCTTTCTGTTGCAGTTTAGCTCATCCAAAAATGAAAGTCCTGTCATCATCTCCTCTTGTTCTGATCAAGTTTTGGCTGGTCCAGAAGAACGTCTTTCTCCATTGACGGCCATTCAAAAGCAGCCATGTATTATTCACAGTGGGATTCGAGTGTTATTGCAGAGGAAAGATTTCCTGTGAAAAATGACTAAAATATTGTATTTTTTTCACATAAACCTATAGTATAACTTCTGAAGACTTGGAAAAATAGTGCATGAGTCATATGCACTGGCTGCATTTATGGTGCTTTTTAAATCATTTTTTTTGGAGCTTGACATCTCATTTTATTGTATGTCTCAATCTCTCCACTGAGAGTACTGTAAATGATGACACGATTTTTCGTTTTTAGGTGAACTTTTCCTTAAACATCGTCATCTGGAGTCCTTTGTTTTATTCATAAGGTTTTAATTAATCCTGCTGGCACTTTTGTTTTAGAAAATGATTGTGAAGAGCCAATCAAATGCATTATTGAAATGGCTGAGAACTGACTGTCAGATTGTGAGCTGTGAGTAATTTATCAAACAAGCTGTCATTCATCAAAAGAAAAGTGTTACGTAACTATGGAAACGATTCATCGTCTTGGCTCTGTATTAATGGTATTACAACATCCCGCATGATGAAAATAATCTATTAGAGGAAAGGATAACAGTGTCATTGAGAAACGAAAACAGTAGCATTCCAGCTCAATGTAACGGTCTAATTCCTGGAGATGGTGGGTGAATTTTTCAGTCATAAATATTGGTTTTGCTTAAACATTTCAAAATAATCAGTCATTAAAAAAAAAAAAAAATCAAAAGTCACACACACAACCAAAATAAAATCAAAGAACTTAGAAAATCATGATTATGCTTAACTAAGTATTTTCGTTATCAAATACCTTTGATAGCTAAACATTCAAATACATTTGATAACTAAACATGAAGATTTCAAAATAATAAGTCGTTAAAAAGAGCAAAACACACTCACACAAAACCAAACAAACAAACAAAAAACTAAATGGAACTGAGCAAATAAAATTAATGAAAACCAAACCAAAGCATAAAAAGCAATAAATAAATAAATATAACAAAACAAAGCAAAGAATAAAAAAGAATGAGACATAAACAGAACAAAGCAAAAACAAACAAACAAACAAAATAGATGAAAAAAACCCAAAAGATGGAACTGAGCAAATAAAATTAATGAAAACCAAACCAAAGCATAAAAAGCAATAAATAAATACATAACAAAACAAAGCAAAGAATAAAAAAGAATGAGACATAAACAGAACAAAGCAAAATCAAACAAACAAACAAAATAGATGAAAAAAACCCAAAATGAAATGGAACAAAGCATAAAAAAACTAAACAGAACAGAACAAAGAATAAAAATAGAACAAAGCATAAAAAAACCGCAAAGCATGAAAAAACATTATACATTTATATTTAATGTATAGTACTGTATATTATACCTATATATTGTCACATGCAGTTCTGGAGAAATACAATGACTCCTAGGTAATTCATTTCCACACATGAGTGAATTGTAACACATTGTTGCATTTTTAGTATATGCTTTAATTCACATAATTTTAATCTCACACACAACATTGAGGGTCTGACTGTTATTTTTACAATTTAATAATGCATAATGTTTCAGTTCATAAACATGCTACCAGTCAACTGGTGAGTAACACCAATTTATTTCTTTGTCAAAACTAAGATTTTTTCTCATCTGGCCCTTGTCCGAGTGTTCATTCTTGACCCTGTTAATTAGTCATTTAGCAAATATTTTCCACCCAAAGCGATTTGCATGGTCAGTGTCCCAGGAGTAACCTCAGGTTAAGTATCATTCTCACCCCTTGTGGGATTTGAACCTGCAACCTTATGGTCACCAGCCAAAATCTTTAACTGCTAGGCTGCAGCAGCAAGATGCAAAAAAAGCATTGCAGTTTTTAGAAGCACTTAATCCCAAGGTTTCTCAATGCCGCTGCTGATGCGAATCACTGCACCAGTGGGGTTTGTGAGACACTTTTCTTTGTTTCTCTTTTAGAACAATATCCAGTTGTGAAAAGTCCTCTACAAGTCAAATTTAATTAACATTGAAATGGATGGCATGGTAAGAGGAAGCAATTGTTGATATTGATGTGATCTTTCGATGACGAACCGTGGCTTTGGAAGTGAATTGAAAGTGGCTCAGTTCACGCTGTGATTTCTCTCCAGCGCTGTTGGATCCTGATGAGAAATCTGCTGTAGTCCATCAAGCAAAACCGTCTGATTTGACTTACGTGGACTTCATAAAGGCTTTGTTAACTGGCTTGGCGCAGTGGCGTCAGGAGACTTGTCTTTATTATTTATATGCAGAAGAATTCAGCCACAGCGTGAAGTGTCACCACCACACCTCATCATTTCATCAAGCTGTAATGTATTTTTTTAAATTTCCTCTGAGTTTGAGAGAACTGCATGACCATAATCGCAATATAATCCAATACTCGTATTTTGGGAACAGCCTACATCGGTTTCTCAAATAGAAATGAACTGCATACTGATTTATTTTCTTCATCCAAAGTGCGAAACATATTCTACAATTCAGTGAACTTAAAATCTTCAAGCTCAATTCATAACACAAACGCATGTTGCATTCTCAGCATTGCCACAAGGAGTGCTATTGTTTAGCACAGTGTTTCTTAACCTTTTTTTAGGTGCGGCACCCTTTGGAAATTTTAACACATTTGTAGCACCCTACAAAATTAATTTTGTTTCAATATTTGAATTTCTAAATTCGATATGATACTTTGAAAAGTATCGATATTCGGTACAGCAGGGAAGAACTGCAGAATATATAGTCATATTTTTAATATTATTAATTTTTTTGTCCATAGTGGCAAAAAAATAGTGGCATAGTAGGCTAATTTCTAATGAAGAGACCAATTTACATGACAGATTTTCAAGTAGGCTTTTATTCATATGTAAACATTGTTTAATTACCATTATAACTTAAATGATCTAACACATTTTTGCTCACTCAGTGTATTTTTAATTTTACAGTGGGGTAATTTTGTTGCAGTAGCACGAGATGGCTTGATTTCAAACTTTGAATTGAATAAAAAATGACAAGTAAGCAGTCAGTAATAAAATAAGAACAAATAAAGAAATGAATAATGATAGCACAAGTAAAAAATAACAACAGGCCTACAAATGAAATGAATTGCTTTTTAGTTTTTTCAGGTCTAACAGTAGGGCTATTAAGAGATCGTTTTTTTACCAATTGTCCAAATAATGTTTAGTCCTAGAAAGCTATTATTATCAGAACATGTGAGCATAATATAACGGTTAGCAGATCAATGAATGAGAGAGCAGAGTTACCAGAGTTGCTCATATACCACACCTTGTTACAACACAGTAGGGCTATTGCAGACAGAAGCAATACTGTACTACATAGATGTTTCCTGTCGGCTCGATTTTTGAGTAGACTTTGCTGTTCCGATTCGCCTGAACAGTATATGAGTGGAGCGACTGAGCGGAGCGCACACGCATAGAGCGGGATAATACGCAGAGCGTCACACCACGTGAAAGTGAAACCTGAGCGGTTAACTAATTTTCGGCAGCCGGAATTTCGGCGCATCTCTAACTATTGGCGACATCAGAAATGGATATTATATAATAGATGCTTTTTTGAACATTTTAGACACATTATAGAACATTAAATCATTTTTAAATGATTTTTTTACACGGCACCCCTGCTCTCGACAGACGGCACCCCGGTTGGGAAACACTAGTTTAGCACATACTGACGTCTATCAGCTTTCTAAACAACAAAATCAGGTTTACAACAGAAGATCTAGATGCTGGATTTGATAACGTTTGTGAAGTTTGTGGTATTACATCTTTAGTCAAGAATTTATTGAAGAATTCAGACTGAGGCTGATGTTATCCAGTAAATGGGATATTTAAGCACAATGACTTAAGATTGTGATTTATTTGATTTTCATATCAGTCATACGACATTTTATTATTAAACTGGCCAGTTCTTGACTAGAATAAGCTGCAAAATGGACCAGACTTCACGCTTATAGTCAAAAACCTGGCACAGTGTGACTACATGAACAAAGAATAAAAAATAACTAACTGAAACTATTAAAAACAAAGCTGAAATAAAAGGAAAATATAAATATTAAACAGAAATCTAAAAATTAAATGAAAAACTGGAAAGAAATGCAAGCTAGACAATCAAATACAAATAATTATTTTAATGAAGTTGAACTACTTAAGTTGCTAAAACTAAAAAAAAATGAATGAAAGCTAAATAGAAAAATAAAAAAAGCTAACAAAAATGACAAACATAAAATTAGTAACATTAAAGTAAAAATTTCAAAATGTTAATAAATACTACAATAATATATAAATATTTCTAAAATAGCGTTGAAAGAAAAATAAACGCATATGCTTCTAGCTACACAAGCTCAATTTCAGAAAAAAAGATGCAGTTCATAATCCAATACAGCTATGTGCGTTCTTGCGATAAATCAAAGATGAATCCGTTTTAAAGAGGTGATGTTTATTTATTTGCTTGCTTGCTTGCAGAAATAGGAATCTCTAATACTAATGTTACTAAAATTACTAACATTAAAATAAACATTTAAAATATAAAAGCGAATTCAAAACATTAATAAATACTACAATAGTATAAAAATATTTCTAAAATAGCACTGAAAGAAACATAAACACACAAGATTCTAGCTACAAAAGCTCAATTTCAGAAAAAGAAATGCAGTTCATAATCCAATACAACTATGTGCATTCTCGCGATTGCCACAAGGGGCGCTAATGAACATGAAACTGTTGTGAGCTACATAAGTTTGGAAGAAAATCTTGTTTAAAAAGTGAGACATTAAACATTCGAAGTGAACATTTGAACGGAACTCTATTGCCCCCTTGAGTATTGGAGATTATTTCCACTACAATAATGGTTAAAACTGAAATGGGGCAAATAATTCATTTTATAACATAATTTTGTATGTTTCTGGTGGTAAAGCAACCTGTTCGGCTGTATCAGGAGGGCTTGTGCTCTCTTCAGTACTGAAACCATGTCTCTGCTCACAGGACAAGGTTACTGTGGTGATAATTTTCCCTTACTTCCAAAATTGGTGGCTATTTTAAACTCCAGCAGAATGGCTAGCTATTATGTTGCCGCTCGAGAACAAGGGCAATTTTTGTACATGCTCTCAGTGAAGCACCGAGTCTGATGCTGTCTTCGTATTTCTGTTTGCACGTTTTCTTCAGATGGTGGTTGTATCGGATGATGTTCACGAGTACGCCGTCGCCCTAAAAGACACGGACGAGAAGATCGCCCGATGCCCGAGCAGAGTAAGATCACTGTATTGAAGTGTTAAGTTGCATTTATGTTCATAAAGTCTTGATTATGAACACAATTAAGCTCTGTATTTAATTAGTATTCATATGATTTTTTTTTTGTCAGAGGCCGGATATTTTAGAAGAGTTGCAGAAGACCCAAAAAGTGTTTGCTGAAAAGCTGAACCACCTGAGTCGTAGGCTGGCCTGGATCAATGCCACCATCTACTCCAAGGTACTGTTGAAGACACTGGCCAAAAACATAGGGTGAACCAACTGTCTCACTAATTTCAAGCAGTGTCATTTTTGTATCTGCAGCGAGGGATATAATTTTACGATGAGCCCAATGTGTGGTGGTCTGAAGACTTTTAGGGCTTTGCATTTACGATGTGCCCCATAAACTCCAGACATTTAAATTCAGCCTTGAAATGGTTTTTCAAAAGGGCATTTAGGAACAGGAAGTCGTATGTAAACTTGCAGTTAATGGCAATGCATTCATCACAGAACTCTCTGCAACTTAAATGGATAACCATTCATTCAATCATTAAGCTGCAAAAATTGCATAAATATAAATCAATAAAATTATTCAATTTTAAAAGGGTAGTATGATATTTATTTTATTTACTAAGCTGCAAAAATGGCAGAAATATAAAACAATATTTATTTATTTATTTAGTAATAAGCTGCAGAATTTGTAGAAATATAAAGTAAAGATACTATTTATTTCTAAATATTTTTATGCATATTTGTTTATTGATTGGTAATTTGATCATTTATTATTAATAGTTTCTAAAGAGGTCATGTTTGTTTATTTATTTATTATTTATTAAGCTGCAAAATTTACAGAAATATAAAACAATATATTAAATGAATCAATTTTAAAAGGGTCATATTTATTTATTTATTTACTTTCTAAGCTGCACGAATTGCAGACATATAAAACAATAATTAAAACAATAGCAATTAATCAGTGTTAAATGTATTTAGAAATATACAATTATATTTATTTATAAATATTTGTATTCATATTGATTTGTTTATTTATGGATTGATTAGGCTGAACACATTGCTTTTGGCAGAAATATAAAATAATAATGATTAGCCATTATTTATTATCCATTATTTTTTTATTTGCTAAGCTGCAAAAAATTGCAGAAATGTAAAATAATAAAATTAATCCATTTTAAAAGTATTATATGATATTTATTTATTTATTTTCTTCACTAAGATGCAAGAATGGCAGAAATATAAAACAATAATTAAAACAATAGCAATTAATTCGTTTTATGTATTTTTTTTTTTTACTAATTTAAAAAAATGCGGAAATAATAACGATAATAATAATAATAATAATAATCAGCTTTAAAGGGGTCATTTATTTATTTATCAGGGGGAAAAAAAATCTGTATATAATATGAATGATAATAATTGACAATTTTTCAGAAATGGTTAATGACTGTTTAGTATTCAGCAGCTTATAATAGACATGCTTTACAGGCAAAGAGGTTAGCCAGTCATAGCAGAAGTCATTTGTAAATAAGAGTCCCTAAATATACAGAAGCAAGATTCAGAGGGGTGGAATTTTAATAGTGTAAAACTAAAATCTGAAGTGCATTTCAAGGCCTTGCCTGCGATTTCTGGATTCTCAGCAAAAGTTCAGATGGAAGCATGTGTATGTCATTTTTATTGAAATGATGTCTTTGAATGCAGGAGAAGATGCTGGATGTGTACTGGCTCCTGCAGGTGTGTATCCGCACCATCGAGCATGCGGACAGCACAGGCTCCCTGTTCGCATTCATGCCCGAATTCTACCTCAACGTGGCCATGAACAGCTACAGCGCCCTCAAAAACTACTTCAGCCCCTCCAACTGCATGGAGGAGCTTCCAGGTCTCTCAGTTATTACTGGTCACAAGAGCTGCTAGTGTATGTGAACTTTGATCTTGAGCAGTTGTTTGTGTCGTGTGATGTTTGTCTCTCAGGTTACGAGGACACACTCGCTCAGCTCGCAGCCATTCTCGCCAAACACTTTGCTGATCCGCGCATCGTTGGCACCGGTAAGAACACTATAGCCCTTCATTTGCTAAGACTAATTCATAAACATAAATCTATAAATTCATAAACCTATCTATCTGTCCATCCATCAGTCCCACAGACTATTTATTTTTACATTTACATTTATTTGTCAATCCATCCATTTTTCCACCTTTCTGTCTGGCCATCTGCCCATCCATCCATCCTTCTTTCCTTCCTTCCTTCCTTACATCCATCCATCCATTCCATCGACAGTCTATTTTTTCCATTCATCCATCCTTCCTTCCTTCCATCCATCCATCCATTCCATCGACAGTCTATTTTTTCCATCCATCCATCCATCCTTCTTTCCTTCCTTCCTTCCATCCATTTCATCGACAGTCTATTTTTTCCATCCATTCATTCATCCATCCTTCTTTCCTTCCTTCCTTTCATCCATCCATCCATCCATTCCATCGACAGTCTATTTTTTCCATCCATCCATCCATCCATCCATCCATCCATCCTTCTTTCCTTCCTTCCTTCCTCCCTTCCTTCCATCCATCCATCCATCCATCCATTCCATCGACAGTCTATTTTTTCCATCCATACATCCATCCATCCATCCTTCCTTCCTTCCTTCCTTCCTTCCTTCCTTCCTTCCTTCCTTCCTTCCTTCCTTCCTTCCTTCCTTCCTTCCTTCCTTCCTTCCTTCCTTCCTTCCTTCCTTCCTTCCTTCCTTCCTTCCTTCCTTCCTTCCTTCCATCCATACATCCATCCATCCATCCTTCCTTCCTTCCTTCCTTCCTTCCTTCCATTCCATCGACAGTCTATTTTTTCCATCCATCCTTCCTTCCTTCCTTCCTTCCATCCATCCATCCATCCATCCATTCCATCAACAGTCTATTTTTTCCATCCATCCTTCTTTCCTTCCTTCCTTCCATCCATCCATCCATCCATTCCATCGACAGTCTATTTTTTCCATCCATCCATCCATCCTTCCATTCATTCGACAGTCTATTTTTTCCATCCATCCATCCTTCCTTCCTTCATCCGGCAGTCTATTTTTCCGTCCATCCATCCATTAGGGGTGGGAGAAAAAATCGATCCATCGATGCATCGCGATTCTTTCTCCAACGATTCTGGATCAGAATAAAGTTTGATGTTACACTTGAAGTGTGCGGTCTCGCCCGTCGGTATTTTCCTTACAAATGCTCTACGAAGTCATCAATTATATGGTTTGGAATGCAGTGGACTTATATATTTAAAATATGAACCTCACTAACAGAAGGCTGCTTTCAATTTCAAATGCTGACGCGCACTTTGTTTGTGAAGACTGCTCGCACATGCAGCTGTGCGCGACTCCGTGGTTTAATGCACTTGCGTCTCAAAATGATTTTATGACTCAAAATTAATGTAAACACAGCCGGTTATGTCTTAAGGGATTAAATGGACAGGACAAACCACATTACTTGTTATATTTCAAAAGAGATCCGTGCATGAATGCAGCTTAATAGATCTCCCGCTGTCTATGATGTTATAGTAAAAAACAGATGAAAAAAATCACTCACAGTTCTGGAATGGAAAACATTCAGATAATCTTAAATATTGAAAGCACTCTTTGTTTGTTGTTTGTAATATGTTTATATGCCCCTCTTTATTATTTGCTACTTGCTTGAATGTTTTGAAGTTGTATTAGTTTAAAAGTCTTAGCATACAACTGTTTTAATAATTTTTTTTTCAATTTGTAATTATTTTAAAAAGTACTTAACTACTTATGTAAGGATATGTAAATGTAAGGATTTTAAGATTCTCAAGTCTGTAAACTAATTAATTAATAAGGGGGGGGGGAGTAGATAAAAAAATTGTTCTGGAATCGGATCGTGACTCCCAGAATCGGAATCGGATCAGATCGTGAGGTGACTAAAGATTCCCACCCCTACCATCCATGCTTCCTTCCTTCCTTCCTTCATCCGACAGTCTATTTTTCCATCCATCCATCCATCCATCCTTCCTTCCTTCCGACAGTCTATTTTTCCATTCATCCATCCATCCATCCATCCCACAGACAGTCTATTTTTCCATCCATCCATCCATCCATCCATCCCACAGACAGTCTATTTTTCCATTCATCCATCCATCCATCCATCCCACAGACAGTCTATTTTTCCATCCATCCATCCATCCGACAGTATATTTTTCCATCCATCCATCCTTCCTTCCTTCATCCGACAGTCTATTTTTCCATCCATCCATCCATCCTTCCTTCATCCAACAGTCTATTTTTCCATCCATCCCACCGACAGTCTATCTTTCCATCCATCCATCCATCCATCCATCCATCCTTCCTTCCTTCCTTCATCCGACAGTCTATTTTTCCATCCATCCATCCATCCCACGACAGTCTATTTTTCCATCCGTCCATCACCTACTATTCATCCCCTGCAATCCATCCATCCATCCTACCTGCCTCTGTTAATATTCTGTTCCCATTAACTGCAGGAAAAGACTCAGAAAAAAGCAAGCGGCCCAAAAATACGTAGAATAATCAATCCGTTGGCTGTTTTAATGGGAATTCTTTAACCTAATATAGCCGTTGGCTTGTACCGTTCATCACTTCGCTTCATTTCTCACGTAAAGGTATAATTAAAAGCTTCCTCTCTCAGCTCTCAGGCAACATGAAGTCATTTGTGTGATGAGTTGTAGCCGTAGTATTTTCTTAATCCTGTTTAAGGTTAGGGCTATGAAATACCCTCGACTCCTGAATCATGAGTGATGTGCTATGCAAATGAACAGATGTTATTAGACACGACCCATTTGTTTAAATTTCATTTCATAAGCAGGCTTTTCATTATGTTCGCACTCCTTTATGCTGATGTATTTAGATTTGTTTGCATATTTATCTTGTTTTCTGTGGGCTCTTTTACCGAATACGTCATTTTTAACAACAGTTGTTGCACGGTCTGTTTTTAATATGGATTAGTTTTATATTTCAACTAGCTTTTTATATCTGAATAGCTTTTCTTTTGTTGGCAATTCTAGTGGTTAAATTATAATTGTTTTGCTTCTTTGTTTTGATCAAGCACTTTTTTCTTAACAAAAGGAGGCTGAGGTGTTATAAAATCATTGAAGCTTCTTGTTTCATAACAAATTGGAAGTAAACACTAATAGATATAACAATCATGCATGCAAATGCAAGAAAGAAGCCCTTTTTTAAAGATAATGTGTATGACCGTTTGCAGCCCACTTTATTTACGTAACATATTTCAGAGTAAACCAGGACATGCAGAGTGGGGATTTCATTTATCAAGAATTAATTGAATCATAAAAGCATTGAACAATGTCTTCTTTCTAATTTATTTTCATCCACAGATATCAAAGATTCACTGATGCAGGCTTTAGCCAGTTACGTGTGTTACCCACAATCCCTGCATGCCGTCGAGAGGATCCCAGAAGAACAGTAAGTGCTTAAGCCTGCGTTTGCATCGAAATGCAGTGATTAATTAATGTTTTTTTTGCTACTGCGTTTCTTATTTTCATCTCACCTTAGACCAGAAACATACCCTATGCACATTTGCAAATGCTGATGTGAATGCTTTGCTAATACATTGTGAGGGTACAGTTGTTTTAATGTTTTTGATGGTTTAGATTTATTTTGTTTTTTGATGAATTTGTTGTGTTGTTGTTGTTGTTTTTTCTGCTGATTTAGTTTTGTTTTATTTTTGATGACTTTTGTTTTGTCATGTTATTGATGATTTAGTTTTGCCTTTTTTGCTTTTTGTATTTTACGCTTTAAAGTTGTTTTTGCTTTGTTGTTGATGATTTAGTTTAGTTTTTTTTGTTTTTGATGGCTTTTTATGTTTTTTTGGGGTTCAGTTTTGTTTTTTTATTTTGTTTTTCATAGTTTTGTTTTTGCTTTGTTGTTGGTGGTTTAGTTTTGCTTAGTTTTTTTTGTCTTTCATGGTTTAGTTTTGCCTTTTTGTTTTGTTTTGTATTTGTTGGTTTACATTTGTTTTGGTTTGGTTTAGTTTAGCTTTTTTGTTTAGTTTTTTTATGGTTTTGTTTAGTGTTTTTGTTTGTTTGTTTTGTTTTGAAATACTCATTATAGCGATTTGGTAACTTACGTCATGCCCAATTATGAAAAACCTGTGCACCCTGGTTCCTGAAATTAGAATGAATTTCATTTTTATACATATCCTGCTGTTTTTGTCTGCAATTTGCATCAGACAACCTAATTTTCATGTATAATGTCTTATTTCTTTGGTTCAATATTTTATTTGATTTAGTGCATTTTTTCAGTTTTTTTTTTTTTTTTTTTTGTGTTTGTGTAATTATTTATGATGTAATATCTCCCAGGCGGATGGCTATGATGAGGAACTTACTGGCTCCATATGAACAGAGACCTTGGGCTCAAACTAACTGGATCCTGGTTCGGCTTTGGAGGGTACGCTGCATTTCTTTTACTGTCTTACACGATTCCCTCTCCACCCTTTCCACTCCTTTCTTTTTATCTTCTCTTTTGCCTTTCCTCTCCCCCTATTATGCCATTAGATTCCAGCTCAGAATAGATGCATTATATCAGGGCCATTATGCAGCATATCTCTGCTGTTTCCATTTAACATTTATGAAATGGGCCTGACAAACCAGCTACTCTCATTTAGTTGTTTAACATTTATTCCGCTCTCAGTGCCAAAAAGGGGTGACTTGTTTTCTCTTAGAGAAAACATTATTGGGTTTATTCATCCGTAATAGTATGATTATGTGTCTGTTCTTGATCATTTTTTGATCGAGTTTCTTGGAGTGTTGTTCTGTTGTTGTTTTAATTTATGATAAAAAAAATCCAGTTTGTAAATTAAGTGTCTCCTCACACAGAGCTGACTAACTTTAATATTTCACACATCACTGGTCACAAAAGAGTGATTTGTTTCCTTACTTCTTTTAGGCCTTACACAAAAAATACAGCTAAATATGTTTACCACTTTTCTTCTCTGTTCACACTTTTTGTTGTTAACCCCTCATTTTTAACCTTGGGTTAATATGGTCTTGGGTTAGTGACAATTGCCTTCTACTACTAATTTATTTCTGACCAAACTGAACAACTAGTTCATTTTGTTATGGTTAAAAATGCTTAAATTTGAAAGTGGTTGTCACTCACACAGATTTGCAGTCTGTATGTGGTCTTATATTGTATTCCTCCTGTCGACAGGGTTGTGGCTTTGGCTACAGGTACACACGTCTGCCTCATCTGCTGAAGACCAAACCGGAGGACGCAAACCTGCCCAGCCTGCAAAGTGAGTAACTGTCCTATCTTCCTCCATCTTTATTTCCAGCCTATCTTTAAACATTACAGTTTTTTTTTCTGAAAACTTTTTCTTTACTTTTCTGTACTTTGTTTTCCATTGAATTTATATTTGTTTTATAATTTGGTAATGTTTTAAAATGATTTAAATGCTTTGTGAAGATTAAATAATTGTAATAGAATTAGAGATCTTGATAGACTAAAATGTAATTAAATTATTGATATTATAGTATATAGCAGCGGTGCCGAACTCCGGTCCTGGAGAGCCGCAGCCCTGCAGAGTTCAGCTCCAACCCTAATTAAAACTCACCTGCCTGTAGCTTCCTAGAAACCATTCAGACCTTGATTAGCTTGTTCAGGAGTGTTTGATTAGGGTTGAAGCAAAACTCTGCAGGGCTGTGGCTCTCCAGGACCGACGTTCGCCACCCCTGGTATATAGCATATATCAGTAATGAAAATCATTCAAAGGCATCACACTGAACATGATGAAAGCATTGAATAGACAAAAAATGGCCTTAGAAGTGTTTTCTGACACGATCTATCTGAGTCTGTCAGTTTAAACTCACTTTTATTGATGTCCCATAATGCTTTACTGATCAAAACCCAGAATACACTAGAGGCAGATTTTTATTTACAATAAGCAGTCAAAGCACAGACACTCGAGAGTCATTTATCATGATAACCACCTCATAAACAGTAATATTATTCATTAAAAAATTATTTCTTAGAAATTTCCTTGAATGCTGTCAGCATCTTAGAGTTTGTTTGTTTGTTAGATTGTTGCTGGATATACCAATTATATACATTTACCAACCACATTTTTTTTGTCACTAGTCAAGATTTATAAGTATAACCTGTAGTAACAATAATTGTAGGAGGAATTTTGCAAGGAAAGGATACACTGGAACATCAAAAAATTTTGTTTGTCCACCTCAGAAGTAAATTTTATTTGAGGTTTGCCATTTTGCAACCTGTTACCAAATTGTATAGTGTGTGAGCAGTTTAAAACTATTTATTTATTTATTTACATTAAACATGCAAATGATAAATATATGTATTTTTAAATGCTTAACGTTATTTAAGTATTTATTTTAGGGCTGTCAGTTTAACACGTTAATTAATTAGTTATGAAAAAATAACGCGATTCAAATATTTTAACACAGTTAACGCACTGGCCCCGCCCCCAGACCTGTACATCAACTTACATTTCATACAGTTGACTGTTGACAAATAAAATGTCCATAAATGCAGTTATGCCCTAAATTTCAAGATATTGGTGCAGAAATGCCCCTGTGTGAGGTTTTGTCTCATATTTATATCATACGATATCACACGAGCAGCGAGAGCAATATTACGAGTGCTGATTTTGTCCGGAATATCACAAGTTTAAGTGTGAGTTTATAAAACAGTTCAATAAATAAGAAGTTAATATTGTGTTATATTTTAAACACAATATTATATCTTTTTGCTCAATTTAGCAAAGAATATATTACCTTTAAAGCCACAGCAGAACTGTTGTGCGTCTCCGAGCAACACAGCGGTGTTTAGTTTCTGAATGAATCCGCGTTTTGAACGAATCGTGTGAATCAATGATTCAAAGGCCCGTTCATAAAATGTACTTCATTCCTGAATGAATCAGCCGTTTGAACGAATCGAATTAAGACATTTACCGCCACCTACTTGCATATTTAGTTTCTTATTTGGAGTATAGTTTCTAGGATTACACAAGCTTCAGTCTGGATCCAGAACACCTGAGAAGAGATGATGCCAACCCCTCAGAGGACCTCAGATGATGCCAACCCTGAAACAACATACAGAACTACCACATTTTGCTATAAGTTTGATTGCATCATATAATAATTGCTGTTAATATTGTTCATCGTCTGTTTTATTACGTCTTATATTGATTTTTCCGTTCTGCTGGTTCGTCTGGTCAGAGGAGAACTGGCCCCCCGACTGAGCCTGGTTTCTCCCAAGGTTTTTTCTCCATTCTGTCACCGATGGAGTTTTGGTTCCTTGCCGCTGTCGCCTCTGGCTTGCTTAGTTGGGGACACTTCATTTCCAGCGTTATCGTTGACATAATTGCAAAGATATTATTTAAACTGAGCTGGATGTTGACATCACTGAATTCAATGATGAACTGTCTTTAACTGAAAAATGAGTGTTTACTATTGTCATTTTGCATTATTGACACTATTTTCCTAATTAATGCTGTTCAGTTGCTTTGTCACAATCTGTATTGTTAAAAGCGCTATATAAATAAAGGTGACTTGACTTGACTTGACTTTCATAAAAAAATATATATATAATAATAATTATAATTATAATAATAATATTAAAGGGATAGTTCACCCCAAAAACAACAAAAAAAATCTGTCATTTACTCACCCTTATGTCATTTCAAACCTTTCTTTTGTGGGACTTAAAAGAAGGTATTTTGAAGACTGTTGGTAACAAAATATGTTTTGGTTACCAATGACTTTCATTGTATGAACAAAAAATACTGAGATGTTTCTCAAATTATCTTCTTTTATGTTCCATATATATATATATATATATATAACATATTCCATATGTTAGGCCGTTTTAGCCTAAATGATAAATTGATATACTTATTATTCCATAAATGAAAGAAACATAATATAGTTTCTCATAATAATGTTGGTAGCAGGATTGAAAGATTGAGCTTGTTGAATGTTGTCAACGCTGTTATAATATTGACATTACACAATTATGTAATGATATTGATATTATTTACTTCCTGTTGTGGTGTAAGGGTCCAAATTATGTAATTTATGTCTGGGTATCACAATTATGCAATGTTCCATTTTTAATGGCGGGAAAATCATTCTGTTACAGAGTTGCTCTGAAATTCATTGAATATCATTTCAACCGATTATTTACCGAAACTGCATGTAAAACTGAGTGAGCATCCATTTGAAATCAAATCATGTTTGTTCTTTGTTCCTGACCCTGGAATCTACATCCCCACTGACGTTATTAGGAAGTCATGATCAATAATGTAGAACACTGAGTACAGATGCTGTTTTTACTAGAGCGGTTTTGACATCATGCCGTTCTTCTGTGCGACTGTAAAAAGTCTGTGCTTCTAACTCATTAAAGACGAACTTGGCTCCTTCACCTTATTTCTTTCAGCAGCTTCAGATCAATACTTTTTAAGAGACCATCCATTAAGTCAAACCATCTGTTGCGTCAACCAGAGATGTTTCCCCTTATCAATTTACTTTAAATCAGTACACTTTTTGAATTTAATCACTCACAGTTCACTGCCAGCCTATTTTTTTTTAATACATAATAGATCAGCTCAGTGTATTGGGAACTTCCTCAGGGAAAACATGTGAACTGACATCTTGCAAGCTTAGGTTCCTTTTCATGGTCAATATGAAACGTTCACAACCGATTTTACTTCTATAATATGACATAATTTAGATGGAAAACAGGATGTTCAATAAGTAACATGTACTTCAGGAGTCGATTTTATCTATCAGGAATTGATTGTCAATTTGCTTAGCAGAAGAAAGGCTTGGAGTGCTTAATCAAGAGGCCAATGCTTGGCTGTGAGGAATAAATTGTAAAGTTGTCACTTTGTGAAGGGACACTTGTCTTGACACTTCAGCTTGTCTTGTACGTGATGCATGAATTCCCTCCCTGGTCTGATGAGTCTTGTCTCAATGCTAATTCCATCTTTTTTCCCACTCTCATTTGCATGGCGTCCAGGGGATTTGTCAATTGCTAGTTTTCAAAGTAAGTTTCGTTCCCATTTGGTAGTTTTCACCTTTGGTTGACCCTTATTAAACTCTTTCCTAATTGCTGGTCTGCTCCTATGTAGCCTGACTGACTGACGTGAGGGTAAAGCGGGCTCACAGCAGACTGATTTGCGTTTAGGATTGTGTCCACACGACCATTTACCCACTCTTAAAATTAGTAATAGTGCTGTCTTGTACCATTCAGTTTTGCCCAAGTTTGCTCCTTTTAGTCCCTTCTAGCCATGAATTGTCCTTGCCAGTAGTTTGTTGTTTTTTCCCTCAGTAATTGTGCCAATTACCATGTGATTAATGTGTCACCTTTGTGTCCTACTCTAGATTATTAGTTAATTATGCTGCTCAAATGTTGGCTGCAGTCCAAATTCAAATATTCATCAGAATCCACATTTTGTACTTGGTTAAAAAAATGAACTGGTAATACTTAAGAAGTCCTGCAGAAATTTACCATGGTACTGTTTCCACTAAAATAACGTAGTTAACTAGTTGACTCCGTGATCTGGTTGGAGTAGTTCCCTGGTGGGCAGATTGTTAGTGAATAACAACCTAAACCGAAGGTTCTCAACTTTGACCCTCAATGTCTTCTTTCCTCACTTGATCAAACTCACCGAACTATAACTTTCTAGTAATCCTGAAGACTTCTATTAGTGCAAGTGTGTTATTTAGGGTTGGAGCTAAACTCTGCAGGAAAGTGGACCTTGAAGACAAGAGTTGAGAACCCCTGACCTGAACTTCAGGACGTTCCTCACCCAAAGTTATCATTTCAGAAGACTTGTAGCACACAAGCACCACTTATATGATGGTTCTTGATCTTTTTTGAAGCCGGAAACTTCCAGTCCACAATTGTTATTGCATGGAAAAGAGCGACCAGGATATTCTGCAAAATTGATCCTTTTTTTGTTTCTTGGAAGAAAAAAGAAATGCAGGTTTAGATTGACATGAAGGTGACTGAATCTTTTAAAGGTGTTTCTATCAATTTTGTTTATCGGATCCTACCTTAAAGCGATTTAAAATGGAATTGATTCTGCAGTAACAGAGTGATTGCTTGCCTCTCAACACCTGGAGTTCTGAAACATGTACATCGTGCCATAGCTGCCTGCTACTTGGTCTCTCTTATGGCTTTTCATTCTATGTTTATTCCTCGCTTATTGGCCCCCAACCCTTATTTTCCAAGCTGCCACTTACACAGACTTCATCTAATTAAATATAA